CACGTCCGCGAAACCGATCGCCAAGTGCAGCGGGCTCCAAGCTGCAATACAAGCCAGGGAAAGCTTGCTGATGCGGTCGTAGAGGCCTCCCCACTCGAGTTCTGGGGTGGGAGGCGGCAAAGGAACCGTCCAACCGTCCAAAGGGACGGCGGCATGGTGGTTTTCTTGAAGGCAAACAGAAGAAGCCGAAAAAGCTCCAGGAGCTCGAACACCATCAAAGACCGAACTACAAAATGGCCGAGAGTGATGAACACATGTTCTATCATGAGGAGGAAGCGCGACTATATATCGTACATATGGTCTTTAATGAACTTGAAGGAACACTGTTTCTTGGTGTTTTTTTTGCCTGTTCCGGGTCACTTCTACATGCATGAAACAGTTTCTCAGAGCTTTAGATGGGTGTGTAGCAAGCTATAGCCGCTAGCCGCTTGAGCGGCCATCCCTTTGACGGCAATTAGCTTCAAGCTTCACGTCCACGAAGTCAATGGAATCGAACATTCCGAACGTTTGGAACTACCGAACCACCCAAACACTCCATGGGACTGCCATATATGCCGACTTGACCCCCCAAACCACCCCAATGTAAGCATATATGGCATACATGGAGTGTCTGGGACAAGAAAACCATCATGCACACGTCCGCCCGTATTTGGAGGCAGCAGCTGGCGGTGTTGGAGGCCGCGCGCGATTCAGACCGGACGGGATGGTGTCGTCATGACATAGTCTCTGACCTTTCTGATCGTTTCCCTCCCCTCCTGGCGGCTCCCATTTCATGGTCGCTATCGACCACGCGGTCAGCGCCAAATCCACGCAGGTGAACTCCGGCCTCAAACCGGCCGAACTCGGCCGTTCCCGGTGTTGCCCAAGGCCCCATGGAAGAAGGACAATCGACCAAACCGAACCGATATAAGAGTTGCGCAGCCCCTATCCCAGACACTGCATGGGACTGCCCTATATGCCTACATTGACCGCCCAAAACCACCCCAATGTAGTCATATATAGCATACATGGAGTGTCTGGGTATGTCTGTCTGGATTCATCCACTGGGGATTCCCGGTGTCCCCTTCATAGTAGATCTTTGGCCGCTAAGCCGCCGCTAAGCGCCTCTGTGCTACATCTACTTGGCCGCCTTGAATTCAAGAAGCCTATACCAACATGATCTCACGCATTCAGAGCCTCAGTCACAACCCTCCACCTTTCAGGTCGCTCGTTTAAATCATTGAGGGTCACTGAGGGCCACTGAGGGCCCCACAAGCGCTTCTCCACCTCCTGCATCACCTGAATGGCAAAGGTTGAGATCTCTCTGTGGCAAACAAGAATTTCAGTATTTCCAATGAACTGCAATAGCAGCATATAGCAGCCATGTGGGACCACTCAAGTGGAAAAAAACAAGGAACCAACACTGATGTGAATATGTGCCAGGATCTCCTCCTCCTCCCTCCTTCTCTCCCTCCTCATCCTCCTCCTCCTCCTCCGCCGTGCTTCGAGCAACTGTGATCCAAATCCACCACCTTTGAGGCCTGAATGAAGTTCCATCCCCGGAAAGAAAATGCATTCCTGGAGGCTGGCTGGCTCCATGAACCCAAAACTACTATTTGCAAACTATTCAAAGATCCTGATACATCTTGGGACCTCTGAACCACCGTCGCGTGCTACCATTCACCTCTGCCAGCAAGGGCGGGAGCTCCGCCCCCGCTCGCCCCCACCGGCAGAAGCAGGTACCTTGTGCAGGTGAGGGTTTCGAGCTCTCCTGGCGCCGAGGCCGGAGGCTGGGCCGAGGTGGGCCGGCGCTCTGGCCGGACTCCGCACTCGTGCGCTCCGCTCCGCCCGCCCCGAACGGCGGGAAGGATCTGAAGGGTCTTGAGGTGCCAGGTGTCGTGGGTGGAAGGCCGTGGGGTGCGGGGAAGCGGAACGACCGGGCGCAGAACCAACTACCATTCGAGAAAACAAACACCTCGGCGCTTCCGGAACCGGGGTCAAAGTGGAGGAACTGCCAAGTCAACTCAAACACCGGGTCAGCAAAACATGAACATGATGGAGTTGCTGAGCGTGAGACTGGAGCACCCCAATGCTTGTACATATGCCATACATGGGGCGTCTGCGATAGTAGTGATATGCCTCCCGCGTGGCAAGGCTTGAGGATGTGATGGAGCACGCCTGTAGATGAACACAACTCCTTGACCCATCAAAGGCCTCACTCCGGAACTGCCTCCAAACTATCAACGGCGGAGCCTTTCAAAAAGAAGAACAACTCTGACAACTCTTCTCCATTCCTCCCTCCACCAAAAAACACGGTGTCTTATGGTATCTTCACATATGTACTTGATTCTCATCCCATCTCCACTGCACCTCTCCGTCCCATCCCCTTTTTTCTGCAGGGCTCGCCCGCAGGGAGCGTGCATCTAAGCCAACGGCCTTGACCGTCGTCGAGCGGCGCGTCTGGAACGCACCGAGACGGCGGCCGGGCGGGCGGGGACGGTGGAGACCGGTGGCCTTGGGCAGCTGGTCGCCCCGACTGGTGGCACCTGCCTTGAGGCGCCTGCCTAAGCTGGCGAGCGTGCAACTTGGAGGGTAGGATGCGAGTCTAAGCATCCAGAAACGAGGGGCGCTGGAGGGGAGGGGGGTCGTAAGGTGTCCAATTCCTTTGGAAACACCACCCTTTCGGCACTCCTGGACAATGTTTTTCACATGGCTGTTGCGATTCTGCCAGCTAGGCGAGCAGCGAGTAGAAGTTTCGGCAAAAAACTGTCAAGCCGCAAACTGCGCGGGAGAAACAAAAATCGGGAAAACACCTCGAATGGTGAAACACATCAAATCCACTTGGGCCAGGCTTGGTCTCGATAAAGCCATCTGAACACATTGATGTCCATGCTGATGGTCAGCAATTTCGCCTGTCCCAAATGTTCAGGCAACCAAAAATTCGTGGGATCTCCGTGCCTGCCAGATCCAGGAATTTGAAGCCGCTGGCTGCCCAGCACCACACATCTTGTTTTCAGCAGCATCATTAGAGACGTGTGGATCTTGTTTTCCCTGAGGCCATAGACTCATCTAGAATCTATATATGAATCCACAATCTATAGAACATTATAGAACTTTTTATGTTGTTGTCGTGTCCTACCTGCCAAGGTCATTGCTCAAACATTCTGGATTTTGCTGGGCATGTTCAGCATTTTCTTGTGATACCTCCCATGGAGGCCATTTCGGAAAAGAGCGGGAACTAGAGGATTGACCTTTCTGTGCGGCCCACACACATTCACCGACATTTCAAGCAAAATCACGGAACTAATTCCTCGAAGCCACAGGAGCCAACCCCAAACGTTCATGGTCCATGGTGGCGCCAACATGGCCTACATTCACCACCCATAATGACCAAATGTATATACCATTATATAATAATATTATATAATGGTATATACATTTGGTCATTTAATATTATATACCCAAACACTCCATGGGACTGCCATATATGCCGCCCCATTGACCCCCCCAAAACCACTCCAATGTAATTATAGGCATTGGAATGGCAGTCCCATGGGTCGTGTCTGGGATAAAGCATATTTGTGTAGGTGGATCCTTTGGGTGGAATTCTTTGGGGATCTCTGGGGGACATCCATTCTCGCCATCTTCATCCATTCGTGAGCCCATCCAGGCCATCCACGTGGGCGATCCACGTCGCATCTACTACGACCTGGGCCGAAGCAGTTCGGTTCCAAGCACAAGTGCCAACATCCCAACCGAGAATGCGGGACCCTGGGATCCCAAAAACAGAACCGTGTGGTGGTACAAATGTAGCGCAAGGTGTGGAAACAGGTGATCTTGTAGGTCTTGCGGGTCTGGATGTTGGCATTGAAAGTTTTTTTTGAGGCAAGAGGCCATCGAGGCTATCTCGAAAGCCATTCTTGGGGCCAGCGGATCAACAGAATTCGCTCCTCAGCAGTTTTTTCATCAAGGTCTCCAGTTTCAATTGCCACACCCTCCAACATTGTCGACGCAAGAACGATGCTAAGAAAACCCAGACCGTAGCGATCTTGGCGACTCTACCTTGCCCTCCACCAAACGACAAATGGCCCCTGCACGAATTTCCTCTGTCAGGTGGGGCCTATGATGGGCCCTCCCACATCCTGGGCATACCTTCAAACAGGCAACACCTGTCACGTCCAAATATATCCACAATTCCAAGCAAGGCCAGTCTAGCCAGCCCAGTTAAATGATGTTAAATGATAGTTTGCTTGATCAACGGTTACCTCTACCAGGAGTTCCGAACTTCAGGTTGGTAAGACGGCACTCCCAGTCACGTTGCTTTTGGGTCTAGGGCAACCGAAACACGAAGTGTTCGTTTTGGGTGGGAGGCAAACCAAACGCCATGATGGTGTGTCGGTGGTCATAGATCACAAATTCATAGATCGAAATTGGACTAATCTATTCTCCTCGGGATATATATAATCCCCATACACACACTAGGGTGTCTGATCCTGGAAGGGTATTGTTTAGATGTAGAGCCCCCACAGGTCAAGGACCTCATTTGACTGTGTTGGATCATGCAAAACCACTCCGTGAGGTCGTTCGGACCAGGTAGTTCACTTGGCCCGACTGGACTTCTAGGGGAATCAGTGAAAAATACACTCCTCATTCTGGGTGGTCTACCTGCCGGGCCAAGTTGGGGGTCCTATGTGGTCGCCTCCGCGTCCCGCCGCAACGGATTAACCGTGCTTCGCCGTTTGGACCGATCCACGCCCCCAGGACCGATCGTGGATTGGAACGTCTGAGATGATGCAGATGCTGATGATGCCGTCTGAAGGCTTGACGAGTGATTGAAGGAACCAAAGGTGCGACGGAACTTCTGCAGCTGAACGCGTCGCCGAAAAAAACATCAAGCGCGTCCTTTTCACGACAGTGGCACCTTAACATCTTGAAGCCAACAAACTCATCGTCTTCGAGCGATCTTTCGCACCAAATCAACGCATCATATTCCCATATCGGCCCTCTTGCCCAAGCGGCTTTTAGAAGCTACGGGCCTTCGGCTTTGTCAAGGCCATGATGCCTCGGCGAAAGAGGGTACCACTTGGGGCTCCAAGACCAGGTGATCACCACCGCTCCACTCGACGAACCTAGGCAGGACCCAGGGCACTGCCATAGGCACAGTTTTCACCAGCTGTTCCTCATGAGGCTCCCAACAACACCCCAAAGGAAACTCAACAAAACGAAGAAGGACACCTCTCGGAACCTCCTGGGACCAGTTCCTCGAAAATAGTATGAGGTATAGGTCGTATGCAGAACAGGGCATAGGATGGCTCAAAAGGTCTCTTTACCTTCAGAACCACTAATTATCGAATAACCTCACCCTTTTCCCAAGGTTGGGCGGCCCGCCTCTTCCGAAACCCAGCAAATCCATCGCCCGACAACCGCCTAAACCATCTTCCGCCCCAAGCGACGAGACATGAGGTTCTTCGGGGTCTCAGAGTCTGGGCTGTACTCGCCTCGGCGGTACCGGGCTCCGCACCTCTCGGGTCTAGACGATGCGACGATGCGAGGGTCGTGGTTGGATGATGAGCACGAGAAAAGGAACGAAAGGAAGGGTGTACCGTCCTGTAGTCCACCAAAGAATCCCCAAAGGTTGAATTGGAACAACATCCTCTTCATATGGGGGTTGAAATCGAATCAAAGAGTCCCAAATCCTCTTCATGTCACTTTTGGTGCCAGCACCGATTGATTTTGGCCGCGCGCGAGCAAACCGGCCTACCAAGACGGGCTAAGCGAGGCGGTCGACCCAAGCGTAAAGGGAAAGAGCCAAAGCAAAGCCGAAGACACATTTCCAAGATTTATACCAGCATCACGGAAAGGGTGTCCATTCATAGCCCCTAAAAAAGAGGTCAAGGGGATGAAAAAGGGGTGTCCATTAACCACCCCTTGGGGGTCCAGGTGTAAGTCACTATAAGTCTAGGATTCCAGGCATGGTGCACACGATCCTTTCCCTTTCAGGCCTATGATAATCATATTGTGAAATAGAAGGAATACAGTGCGTGAATGTTCCGGTCATGACTTGGGTTTTGCACTGCCGCATCGCAAAGCTTCTGCGTCCGAGCAACTCAAGGAATCCTCAGAAACACGCCAGGCAGGCTGGAGGTTCTCACGTGCCTTCCCTCCCATGAAAATTTGATGTGCACTCAGGAGCACTAAAATATATAAAGTGTAATGAACTAGTTTTCTTCGGCATAAAACTTCTTGAACACTGATAGCATTACTGGTACGATAGTCTGAGAAGCCATGAACACCAACCAGCAAATGTAGCTGAGCAAGAGATACTGGCACAAAGAGACTGATGCGTTTTGTGGGTTCCAAAGTCTAGCAACCTACAGAGTCGACTCATTCCCACCGATTCTTCCATGAAGTAAACTCCCATGCTGATTCCTGTCGGGTGATGCGTCAAACACCCAGGGGCCGTGAAGAAGAACCACAATAGACTGTACATACTGTAAAGACTGACTACGCCAATCTACAGCAAAATGTCAACAAGGTCAACCTGCAATTGTTATTTTATCGGGGCGTTTGTCTAGACAGCCATATTTTCTACTATATACTTATAAACATATATATATATATATACTGTACTCTTCTCAGCTAGCATTGTAAACCCCCTGAGTGCCCTGCGGTCAGTGCAGTCATCTCGTCATTGCAAATCTCCTGCTCATGGAGCAGCACGGGTGCCCAGTGGGGTGCCCAGTTGCACTCACCATCGGTAGATCATGGTAAATCTCCAAATGGAACTGGGGCTTGGCGAAGCGATCTTGTGTAATTAATTATTCAATTAGGGTTGATCGTGCAATACTTGAGCATCACCCCCGCCTTAAATAACATATAGGGATTGACTATAAGATGGCACATCAAATCCCGGGACGGAACATGGCATACGGCATATGAGTCAGAATCAACGTCAAAAACCTCAACTGCTGCAAAACATGCATTTTCCTTCCACCTGCTCCTCTTTCCTTTGTCTCTTATCCTCTACTGTCCCTCTACTTCCTGTACATATTATGGCAATATTATAGCATTATATATCCGTATAGCCTATAGGTTAGATGGGATTGGATGCCAAGAGCAAGAACGGATGTGGATGGACTCCTTTCGATGTAGAAGCGCTCCGCTCAGTCGCTCAGTACCGGATGGCACACTATGTGGTTGAGGCTTAATATACTCCCTGATCTTCATAGCTCCTTGCTCAGTAACAAGTTTTGCACCTGGTCCATGTTCTTTAAAAGAAACAACAATCACCGAAAGGCTCAGGTTGGGGCAACTCTTCTGAGTTCGTCCAGCAGGCTCAACTCTGCATATGCGAAACAACAGGAAGAAGAACAACAACAACAGCAGCAGCAGCAGCAACAAGAAGAGCAACAGCAGCAACAACAACAACAAGAGCAACAGCGCAAGAGCAGCAACAACCACAACAACAACCACAACCACAACCGGCCAACGCAACCCAACCCAACTCAACCCAACCCCACCCGACCAAGCCAAACCAAACCAAACCCCAAACCCAACCAACTAACAGGCAGTTTCATTCTCACGAGCGCCAACCCCCAACTCCGTCCCAGCTTCGAAGACCGATTCGATTCTTCCCGCGCCTGCCAATCCTCTGGAATTCGCTCCCGATCATTGGCCAGCTGCACAAACCTCAGGTGACAACGCTCCCTGGAACGGGACCTGTCACCACGTCGGAGCCATGGCGTTGAGCGGAACTGGAGCCACCCAAAGGAAGCGGACGACCGTGGATGGCAGGGCATGGCCAATGCGCCGAAGCGCGGTTTCCCCGACAAACAGGGCCTTGGTTTGTTTTGGTTTTGTTCGGAAGATGTGAAAGACTGTGGTATCATTATATACAATGGTTTGGTGGAGAGCCCGGCTGGGTAAAGATATTCCAGCATTCAAGGGGAGCGAGACACTTGCAGGATAAAAAAGACTGACCAAGGTTCCGAGGTCTTGCAATCCTCATGGTCCTAAGATATCTTAGAAGCAAACCATAAGCAAACATAAGCAACTAATAGCAACTAGTCATGCACAGGTACTAGCAACCAAAGTCAGTGAAAGAAAGTTCCGGTGTCTTGCAAACTGACTAGCAGACCACCCATGTCTAGATGAGTGGTTTCGTTGCCAACCTCTCCGCTGTGGCGCTGTGGGTGGGTTTCCGCTCCAAATTCCAGGTGTAGATCTATCGCGCCGTTTGGACCTTCTCAACACAACAAAGAAGCGAGTAAGGCTTATTAGACAGGGCCCAAAGTCCAAAGAAACAGGCTGACGATTTCTGTGCAGCAGGTGCACATGGTTGCACATGGTTGCACACAAGGCATATGAATATCAATGGGTTGTGCAGACTGCTACGTCCCCACTGTTGTTAGGTCAAAGGAACCAAAGCCTCCATGATTTCTGCCAGGGCCGCCAGGCGTCCATGATGACTCATGGCATCTGATGACACACTGAACAAACCGCTCAGAATTATTTAAGGAACATTTATGATTTATGCAATTGCTAAATAACGATACCAGGTTACCAAACCTCCTAACTCCCATTCCAGGTTACTGTGCGACATCTAACAACCCTCTGAAGAACACCTTTCTCAGCTCGAATTTTGGGCATGAGCCCTGCAATCCGAGCGATTGCGTCCCTTCTGAAGGAAGATGGCTATCGGCCAGCCATCCGAGCGAATGGCCCCCCTCCGCCAAGCCACATCCGTGCATACATCGCTGCGACCGAGTCCACTGCAGGATCCTCAGGCCACGAGCCCGGTGGGAACCTCAGGAGCCTTCGCCCCGGCCACGCGCCACTTCGGTGGGGTCGCGCCACCCGCCCCAACTACGGCAGCCGTTTTGGCTGACCACCACCGAGGTCGCAGGGTGTCGCCTCGTCGTCGGCTGCGCAGAAAGATACTCAGAGACGTCCGAGAGGTTTGGATCCGATTCTGGTCCCAGGCGCCCTCCGAATGCACTCCGCAAAGCCCTTGGCGATGACCTGCACGATATTGGACCTCGGACGCTGGCGCGTGGGTTCAACGCGTTTTGTGATGACCGCGCGCGCGGGTCCGAAGCGAAGGGAAGAGGAGGTGCGTTTTGGTTGGCCGGGTGGGAGGGCCGTTTCTCTGGGCCTCCCGAACAGGAACATGGAAAACAAGAGGATCACTGAGGGAAAGAAGAGCGAAGATAGTATAGGCATCGACGCATTTCGAGTTCTTCCATCAACATCCCACAAAGTCCACCAAACCCCAGGCAGCCAGCTAGACGGCCCCTCCACCTAGGCCCTCGCATCGCCCCACCAAGGATGCTGCTCGTGGATGGCGCGCGCCGAGCCCACGTGGCGCCACTGCGCCCACAAGACGATTTCACCTGGTGCCGGTGCCCCCAGTGACCGCTGTGCCGGTGGGAGCCAAACGGAGGGACGTCGGGGGGTAGGTCACATCTCACGTTGCTGGATGGGACCCGCAAAACCATCCCCGACACCAACTCGGAGACATGAAGTGAGCTAAGTGAAGTGATGCACCTAAAACATCCTAAAACTATAAGACGGTGGTTTGGCCAGTGTAGTGCTCTGATGTGCTCTGGTCAAGACTTTGATGTTGGGTCGTAGCTTTTTTTTGAGCTACAGGAACCACAAGGAATCCTTCCTTAGCAGTAGCACCACCAGGCACGTGGTAGCCCACGACCTGGCAGTTGAGTACGCAACTCTCTTTTGGGGCAACGCCTTCAATCTGCCCAAACATCAGCAACGTCAGCTCCCACGTCATGCCGATGTCATCCGATGTCCATCCTTCTTTTCTTCTCCTTGGCAATTCGGGCGCCTAAGGCCCCCCACACAAGTGTCCACCCTTGCCAATGGCCTTGGCCGTTCTTTTGGATGGGCTGGGTGTGGAGTTTCTGACCCAATTCCATCGACAGTTGCAGACTTCTGGACTTCACACTGACCAGCAACATAACCAATCAATTTCAAACCCCTCCGATGGCAGATTCGAGAGGTAACTTGGGATCACCAAGTTTCACCCTGCTGAGAACCTGAGTCGGTAATAGCTTTTGAGTACGTCAACCACACTCGACAGGTGTGCGTCACTTACTTCTCAGCGCGGATGGAAGGCCTCCCCCCCTCTGTTGCGTGAAGCAATGACTGGCCCAGAAGCAGTTTGGGCAGGAACCCTCTACAACTGGCCGTCAAGCAATGACGGATGCGACCCCTCTGCTCCCGAGGAAAAGAAAAAAGGATCTCTGATATCTGCTGCGGGTCTGTTGGTCACCCCTAGTGGGGTCTTTGACCCTGGCTGTTGACCTCCTCCAGTTTCTTTGAAGCCCTCATGAATTACACAATCTATATAGCTGGACCTTCACAGGGGTGTCCAATGGAGACCTGTAAGTAGGGTTATTGGACACCCATTGGATGATCCTGGTATATACCTCCAACATTTGTAAAAATTAGCATGGTGATCTTGGCCACTGCATTTTCTAATATTCTAACAAGGGGTTTCTACCAAAAAATAGGGCTGCTGTCTGGCTCTACAAAAGCAGGGGGCTGCACAACTTCACTACAAAATGACAGGTCACAATGCACAATTCTGTAGTGCAAATAATTCTGTAGGGGATCCAACAAAACTCAATGATCGAGGACCCGATTTCTGATGCAAAAAGACCGAGCAGCCAACTATCTCAATTGCTTAAGACCTTTACAGATGTACACCATGGGAGCCAACCGTGCACTCAAACGTCCACTGCCAACGACGTCCACTACCTCCGACCCCGCGGAGAGCGGTTCAGCGGAGAGTTGACGACCTCCGACCGAACCTTCCGAACCGCGGCGGGTTCGTCACATCGAGTGCCCAGGCAATGCCGCTTTCGGTGGGCGTGACCGGTTGGACCGTCTCCTGAGCGCGTTTGGAGCGCGCGAACGGCGGTTTCGAAGGCCCGGTGTGGCGGAGGTCGCCGACGTTCGGAGTCGCTGCCGGATGAGGTTGGAGAACCCCCAGAGGAAAGCCCCCCTATTTCACAGTGAATGCCACATGTACCCCTCCAGGCCAGGGTCTCGTATTTTCCAGGTCTCTCAACCTCTTGTGGTTCTGGGGTGCGAAGGTTTCTTGTCAACCCTTGGACCTGTTCACCGACGCGGATTCTGTGCCAGCTATCCCATCTCATGCCATTCGGATGACCCAGTGAGACTTCACACAAAACAAAACAGCTGTGATCCATCCAATGCCAAACACCCTATGAACCCATCACAAGTTGGCCCAATACATAACAGTGGCTGAGGGGCAAAAGAAAACCTTATAATATCTTGGAAACCTGCTTTATCTACCTTCTGCAGTGCACGGTGTGGTCCAGCTTCCTTGACTTGACGGCACTCCCCTGACAACGCAAGCGAATGAAGGACCCTGGGCTGGATGTTTGGAGCACCAACTGTTTGATCTCCATCCGCCCTCTCACTCCCCTGATCTCTGCGCTCCTTCTCTCCATCTCTGTTCTGTATATAAATATGTAAAACTCTTGTATATATTATATCCCAGACACGACTAATGGGACTGACATATTGACCACCCCATGGACACCCTTTTCAACCACCCCCCTGTCTGTATGGATGGCATATTGACCAGTCCGAGTCTGACTGGGCACTTCGTGTTCGCTCCTGAAGACTTGCGACTTGTGACTTGTACGGGATGTGGTATTAGTATTAGTATTGTGCAATACAATACGTGTACTTGCTTAGTATTAGTATTAGTATTGTGGTATTGTACTTGCTTTATGTACCTCCACAATACTTATACGACCCCCCTTTCTCGTGACCCTTGGTTGGAGCAATGCTTGGTCGGATGGCGTGGGGTTTATGACCTTCACTTTGACCAATGACAACTAGGAAATCGTCGAATGCCAACAATCAGGAGTGCTGTTGACGCTTTCAACTTTGAAGGTCTTTTCCCTCCCCAATGTGCGAAGAGATCGGCATAATTGAGGCAAATAGGAACAACTTTTTTCCTGACTGCCCGTTGTGAAACTCCAAGTTGCAGGGTCTGGAGGCAATAAGCCTTCTGAGTCAAAGTTGCTCCTCGGTGGCCAAACTCAGGTCTTTTTGCTCCAAAGATGGGTCTTCAGGGGCTGGTCGCAATCAACTCAAGATGATACGCACACACGTGGAGCAACAAAAGGTGGAGACCAAGAGGGCAGGAACGACCTGGTGACCTCGAAAACAAATCACATTCAGGATGCTTCAATTAGCTTCTTCCTATACCTTCTAAAACCAGGTCAACACGTCGGACCATGTAGAACCATGTTGTTGGACAGATGTATGGTATGGAGCCCATAATTACTCCTATATATGGTGTATTTCATCCGTGGATTCAGTACTTCTCATAGGACACTTATAACTTATAGATATATATAAGAGTGTGTACACATGTGTATATGTATATATAGTACTATATACCATGCAGTTCAAAGGGGTGTCCAATTAGTTTCAAAAAGCTATCTTGCTAAGGGGTGCTTAATGGACACCCCTTAAAAACTACATGGATATATACATAAAAAACCCTCCATCCAAGCCAGAGCAGCCTCCACGTCAAGAACGCCCAAGTCCTTTTGGAGCAGGCTGCCAAGGTCTTCCCAGCTCGCTTGAACAGACAGCTTAGCTTCTTGGGACAGTTTGTATCGAACATTTACAGTACATTCACATCATGTCAGTCACTAAGCTGTCTCAACCACATACTGCATCTTCATCTAGGTAGCAAGCCATATGCAGTGGGTTGCAAGTCACCGCAGAATCAAAGATTATGTGATCCAGCCTTAGTTCCGAACTTAGTTCCGAGTGAAAGCAACCCTACAATAACAGTTAAGGAAAAAAGACACCACTGACCCCCAATGCAAACAAATCACTTGTGATGTTTTGGGCGTACTTTCCACAATAAGCGGCCAGTTGAGATGGCTTCCAGTGCCAAGCCTTGGATTCAAGATCAACAGACTGGCCAACAAACCGCACCACTGTTCAAAAAGGACAGCAATAGCGATACGTTAAGCAGTGGTACTGTTGTGTGCGGCGTGAAAAAGACATCCAGCCCTTTGCAGTGACTCAAGGTTCTCTGCAGACATGGTCACATGCCCATTTCCAGGATGCTTCATAGCACGTCGCATTGCAATCAGATTGATAAAAACTGCTGCACGCAACCTGAATGGTAGTATAAACATGTCAACAGAAAGGCAGCAATCACCAAAGGAGCGTGGGCCTGCTTGCATTACAAAGGAACTGGGCATGTTCCGATTGAGGGTTATTGTGCGCAACCTGCACTGTGATGTTCAGCAGCCATGTTGCCAATACCACACTCTCCTCAGATTCTCAGCAAGGAGTGTAGTAGGGAAAGAAAACATGTGCAACATTAAGTACTGAAGTTGACATCTTGGACATCAAGGCTCAGCAGCATTAAAATGCTTTTGCGCTAGCGTCGGGAATGTTTTGTTCCCAGCAGGGTAAAGATGTTTCCTTGGGTTGCAGCTGCTCAAGATTCTTGCATAAGAAAACCTACAACAAGTGATTTGTCGCTGCATCAAAGTAGCATCGCCCAAACCATGCCCCTGCTTCCTGCAAGCAATCTAAAGATGTCAAGAAAGTATCATGCATGTAGGACACAACATTCAGCCCACCGATCAATACAAGGCACTGACTTTGTTGGCCCGACAAGCTTTGATGAACATACAGTAGGCACGCCGCAATCGCTCATCAGCTGGCAAGCCCACTGGTCCAAAGACGCCTTGTTCTATTAATTCAATCAGGCAGCTTGCTGAAACTTCAGGACAAATGGTGAGGTCAACCACATGGAGATAATCGTGACAAATCATCTGTACACTCCATCCTGGCAAGGCTGTCCATGTACGAAGTCCAGCAACCCTTTGGATGAAAGCTGGGGTGTCCAGGAGGGTACGACGGTGCGCTGCACTTGTACCATGGTTTGTGTACAGCAGTGGACCTTGTTCACTGCTTGCTTGACACAGCAGGCAAATGTTCCGAGAAACTGCGCCATGAGAAGCACGATACACACGCTGGTGGTATTTCTCGTCGCCCTTGTGGGCCACCAGCACCAAGCGCCACCCAGATGCGATCGGACCATTTCTTCCTGAAACATATGGTCCGTGCAACCTACCATATGGGTCAGTGTCTAGGAAATGACCCAATTGGCACTCCAAAAGCGACCACATTGCCCACTGGTCCAACGTCGCAACAGTGTCAACATTTGCAACACTGTTGTCCAGAACATAAATGAGGAACTTGTTCTGATAGATCGTGCCATGCGTCAATACCGAGCTAAGTGTCAACACAAGAAAAGATCTTCTGCGATGCGACTCTGCATCATCCCCGTGAATGCAGACAGGTATACAGTGATCCAGATCACACTCCTTGGCTGAGAATCAATGAACCTTCCATTTCAACAACATCGCAGAAGTGGCTTTCAAAACATGCTCAAAAGATACTCCAGTCAGCAATGGCACTGGGGAAGATAGTACCGGATGCTGCTGGAACCATTGTTGGTGCCGTGCGCAATTCCAATATTCCTGCAAAGCCTGAAGCACAAGAAAACCAACAGATGGCCAGTAACAACAAGTTGTTTTTTTGCAAAGCCAAATGGGGCCTAGTGACACCTGGCGGTCCGATGAACTTCTCCTTGAACAGCTCAAAGTCATAGTGAAAGATGGAGTGAAATCTGAGATGTGCAGAGAAGTGTTCAAATTAAATTTGATCCAAAGTTGAAACAAACCCAGCTGCCAAGTGAGGCACATGTCTGCTGGTAGGAAAAGATGCCACTTGCCAATATAATGCTGTCGAAGCAGGCTGTGATCAATGAGAACTGTTTCTACCCTGAGGCAAAAAAAGGGAAAGCACAAGTGCAAACCAAAGCAGCTGAATGCACAACGTATGCTAAGTTGCTCAAAAGGTTCAGGTAGCATTCTGCGCCACGGCTGCCGTTTGAGCCATGTCCAAAACCTCCGTGGATAATTGGTCTCATCATCTGTTGTTGTGTCAACAAGATTCCTCAAATTTCTCCTCAGCTCGCAGTGTAATGAAGGGAGAAGAACTCGCAGCACAGCATGAACACACCACTGTACCATGTGTGATTCCAAGCTACGGTAAAAAGCGGCCTGGTACCCTTTTCCGTAGAGCTTTGAAAAGTTTCACCAATGTCCTCACATGTACCTGCATGCCACACTTGTGTCAAAGCACATGTGTCATGTGTCAAAGCACCCCTTAGCAAGATAGTTGTTTTGAAACTGATTGGACACCCCTTTGAACTGCATAGTATGTGTATGTGTTCACATGGTGCTTTGGACCAAGTCACATCTCTTGTAAGTTCAAGGAACTCCTCAACCAAGTCCATGGGAAGGGGCACAACAACATAGCGAAAAATAACATTGCGGTCTACAGGTCTAAAGGTGTAGTACACTGGAGTTTGGTAGAGTGTTGATGATGTATGACAAGCTTATTTTTAGCTTGTGTAACAACATGCTTCACATTTTTTTGCATGTGATATCTTGGAAGTGGAAGGATAATTGAAACATGAACTAAAAGAAACAGCTTCCTCATACCACACATCGATGCACCTCATGCAGTTGCACACGCATGCTTTCATGTACCCCGTGCATGTAGCACATGTCAAGAAACACATGCAGGTGTTCCGTGTTTTCCCTTTCTTTTTGCAAGCTGTCGTGACAGTTGGTGGCCACTGTTGATCAAGCAACACCATGCCACTTCTGCCAGGAATTGGTGCAAAGGAGATCCTCAAACGATAGTCGGGATCCCTGGAAGACCGTTGCCGCACACGAACAAAACATATCCTTCACAAGGGGTGTTTGACCAAAACTGGTTTGACTGTTTTGTTGATCGTTGAACAACTGGCTCTGAGACCAATGTGGGGCCAAAACGATCAACCACTCTTTTCCGAATCTGAATCTTCATCCAGTTCCGGAAGTTTTCTCTTCTTACTGGACTTGGGCTTGCTAGTGCTGATGCGCCTTTTGGCGTCTTTAATGTCAGCTTCGCAATCCTTCAAGCATTCCTTCTCTGTGTGAATTAGTTCGTCAACCTTTTCACAATTAACCTCCGATAGCGGTACATCCAGAGCTTGTTGAACTCGGAGGTAGCACGATTCCAAGACATCATCGTGACCATCGAGGCATTGTACCTAATTACAGCTCGCAAAAACAATAATAGCAAGTGTTCTTCCATCAAAACCTGTTCCACCAAAATGAAACGCCGTCTACTATAGCCAGCGAGTATCTAGCTCAGCAGAGTTCCTCACGTTGAACTCCTCAAGCTCTTGCTTGCACTTTGGAAGTTCATTGATCATGGTCTTTACCCTCAGCTGTTTTGACTCAAACACTGATTGGGGTCCAACTTCATGTTGAGACAATTCATGGGAAGATATGGAAACCATGGCCCTGGGACTAAATCCAAATCAAGGACAAGGGTCTTCTTTTCCAGCTTCTTCAACTCCGTCACTGCCATCTCTGCCGGGCTTTTCTCTTTCTTGGGTTTCTTGACCTTAAAGGCACCAGTACCCAGGTCAAACTCCGGCAGCTCATCCGTCTTCATGTTGCCCAGTTGTTTCGCAATCAGGCTTTTGGTCTTGGGATCTTTGACGCGTCCTCCCACACATGCCTCAGAAAAAACAGTTGAGTTTGATGTGAAAGCCACGTGTGTTTGGAAACAGTTCCCTGCAAGGGGCAGAGGTGGATTGGCGAGTCCCACTGGTGTTCATTTGCAGCACTTCTGCAAGGACGCGATACATTCGGGCTTTGGCCACTGTCGGTGCCTGCACAATCCCGAGGCATAGCTGCATCCAGAACAAGGACATCAAGACTCACAAGGTGAGCCTGCGGATGCGCCGTGCCTTTCTGTCCTGATGAGGTTGAACTCAAACACATTGCATGCAATATCATGCAATGTTATTGCATGCACAAAGAGTTGCGTGTCCCTGTTTCCTTCAAAGGGGTGTCCAACAGAGATCCCTAGGTAGTGTAGGGGCTTCCATTGGTGACCCCTTTGAAGGTGCTAGTATGTGCTTT